AAAATGTCTCCTTTCTGTGCCCACATGCTGACAATACTAGCTAAATGCAATTCATCATTTTGTAAAACACTTTGAGGCAACATTAAACGGAAATCAGATTCCCTTCTGTATCAGTGTGACCTGAATGACTTCTTATGGAGGGAAAGGTGGAATCTTTTATAGTTTTAATACTTTTGGCTTACAGTTTTGGCTTTTGTGGTTTCTGAAATTTTGGGAGCAGCTTTAACCAGTTCCTCTGACTAAACTACAATGATTTTTCTCAACATCTCTTTTTATGACTGTACTTTTATATCTGTATCACAGACCATGTTGTCATTGTCAAAACCAACTGCACTTTTTAAAAACATGTCATATGAAAAATATGTCAGCCATCCCTGAACTTTGCAACACCTATCCAAACTTAAGAGCAGGTATTTTATTTTTTAAAAGTGCACAACCATTCTATTATATTTGTTTGTATTTCTGTATTCCTTGATAAAGTGCTTCTTTGAGTTTACAAACAAGAAAACCAGCAGTTCATCAAATTGTCTTCATATGATGTTGCCACTGGGCTACATTTGACTACCCCTTATATAAATTTTAGTTGATGCATCAAAGAAGAATACCCCACAACATTCATTTCCAAACTACACTGTTTGCAGTTAAGTTATTGTTCCAATATTATTTTGCATAAATATGAGGAGTCACAATAACTTTGATTAAGGTTTGATATATCCATGGTTACATATGATTATAGTTTAAGGTTTCAGATAGATAAATATCTTCTTCCTTTATAGACTTTGTACTCGCCTAGGTTGCCGATTGTATAACTTTAAAGGAAAAGTGACAGGAAGGCAGGATTAGAATAATAATGCCTTGATTGCAAAACACTTACTTGTTTTGCAGTTATTCATTGTCAGTACAGTTATTGCAGTACCTTGCTCTCACACCTATTATGACAAATAATGAAAAGACTCCTGTCCATATAAACTCCTTTCTGCTTTGTACAGAACTGCACATGCAAGAGCTAAAGCAGATGCTGCAGATCAAGCTGCTCAGGCTGCTCGCCAGGAATGTGATATTGCAAGAGCAGTGGCCAGAGAACTCTCACCAAATTTCTACCAACCAGGTAAAGTTTGGCTTTTTGTGTGTTCCATTGTGAAAAGGTTTTCCTTTTTCCTTGCAAAAAAATAAGGTTCTTGCAGATACTTGTCATTCCCAGTAAGGATGACCATGTTCCAAAAGCCAATGTCACACAGCAGCTCATCATAAACAAATGGCAAAAACAAAAGAACGTTAGAGATGAGCTGTGAATGCACTTTAAGGCTAGGGATAGAAATTACACATAAACTAGTATAAGTGATCAGAAACTGGTCCAAATCTGTAATACAACAGAAGTTCAGTGCACACAAACTGCTTTCACTGGTTTAAGATAAACGTGGATAAATGTAGTATCAGACTTAACTGATTTAGGTTAAATCGGTTTATTAAACTTCTGTCCCAGATCCCCTCCAGATTCAAGCTAACACCTATTCTCCCCCAGCATCGAAGGATGCTTTGCATCTCTCTTGCAACACCACCCCTTCTCCCCCTTGTAGGGTGATCAGGCTAGCTTTGGCCCAAGCTGTCTGCTCCAGCCAAACAGGAAGATGTGCTCTAGCACTCCCCAGTTTCCCCTTCCTCAGCCCCAGGACTCATGGGCTTCTGGTCTGGGCCACTGCAGGCATGTGGCTTCATTTCCAGAATCAAAAGTGAATGTGTGTTTACTTTCTTATTAGTTCAATTTAATCTATGCAGCTTAGACTCACCTGTGAAGATAGAATCAATTCAGCTTTGGGCTTTTCGACTGTCTGTACTTAGCCTAAAGGATCATGACCTGACTATTCCTCATTGTAACATTCTAACCCAAATCGGATGTACAGAATCTCAATGCTTACTGCTCATGGAAACACCATTTAAATGTACAGGGAAGCTTGTGTCCACTTGTGTTTATATTGCTACTTTAGTATGTTTTTTCTCAAACTTTGTTTTTCCCCTTCGATCGCATCCTGCTGATAAAAATGGTTGCTGCAATTGGTCCTTTATTTAT